TCAATAATGACTCCAAGATCTCTTTCTGCCTCCGTGCTCTCAAGTAGGGAGTTCCCCATTGTGTAAGTGTGCTGCTGGTTCCTACTGCCCAAGTGCAGCACCCTGCACTTGTCCGTATTGAAACGCATCCTGTTCCTGTTAGCCCACCCCTGTAACCTATCCAGATCCCTCTGCAATCTCTCACTCCCTAGTGCCTGCCCCAAAGACCATTCGTGTGTAAGTAATTGCTCCAAGTAAAATAGTGGAGCAGGAAACTCTTGCCTTGTAGCCCAATAATCTAGTAGCTGGGGCACTTAACCAAGCAAACAGGAGACCTGGGTTCTAGGCCCTCTCCTTCAGCCTAGTTTGAAGGTGCCTCTTTTGCGCTAGCAGGGTGGATTGTTTTAAATCAAGTCCATTTAAACCCCTGATTTAAATCTACAAACCAAAAGCCTGATTTAATGAATTGATTTTTATCAAATTGTCCATAGTGTGTGCGCGCATCCCTGTATATTTTAAAGAAAGGTGTATTTTCAATGGTTGATAACAAAACATGTTGATTTACAACTAAGTTTTTACAGTACATTAGGGTGTGTGTGTGTACCTATATAACAAAACTATCATATATATAAGATATATCATTTTTGAAACAGTCTGGGTAAAAAAAAAAAAATTGTATCATTTTAAAGAGAATTAGAGAAGTAGGAACTAAAGCTAGAATGATTTTCATCTACACTTTTTAGAAAAATTTCCCCAGGATGACTTGAAATATTTGGTTAAATTCACTAGCCAAAGTTCATTCTACTGTTAATTACAGTTAATTCTAGTGTTTTATACATTAGTTGTAAATGTGCACCACGTTTTGATTTAACAAAAAGTTTCTATATCCAAATATTAAAGTTGTATTTAATATGCTTGAAGGTCTTGTTTTATGTGTTTAACTAAATTCAGGTTGCCATCTTAATGCAGCTTGATACAAATATGAATAAGAAGTTAACCATCCAGTGAATAATTTATATTTCAGCATTTTATAGCTTACCAAATGTAGGATTTCTAACAATTAAATTTATTAAGCTATATACTTATAGCTTATTAAACAAAACTTTAATGTTTTGGATGCAGAATCTTTTTAAAAATCAAAACATGGTGCACATTTACAACTAATTTATGAAACACTAGAATTAACTGTTATTTACAATAGAATGAACTTTGTTCATGAATTTAACCAATTATTTCAGGTCATCCTGCAGAAAATTTTCTAAAATGCGAGAGGTGAAAGTCATTTTAACTTAAATTTCTACTTGTCTAATTCTCTTTAAAACGAGACAATTTTTTTTTACCCAGGCTGTTAAAATTTTTTTTTACCTTCTTACAAGTTTTTAGAACTCCTATATCTCCCCCTCCTCCCCGTTTTTATTCATAGACTGGAAGAGAAAAACAAGCTTTCCTGATTTTCCACTCCCAATCAGTTTCTCAGCTTTGAATGCACCTGCAGAAGAGGCTACTGTTGTTAAAAGCTGGTTTAGCATTTCCACAAATTCTGGTTTCAGGTCTTTGCTAGTGATTTCCACCAGTTCAGCGGTGTGACTTTCTTTAAAACGTCCTCAGAAAGAAATGTACTGCTTGAATGGTTCACCTGTAGCTCTGAAATTTATTATGGCTGATGGGTGAATGATGGGTGATTAGTAAATGCCCATGTCATAATAGCATTTTCCTCTTTGGCAGTTATGCATCTAGCCTGGTACTGTATGTTAAAAATATTGTCAAGAAAATCTGCTGGAGTAAGTGTTTGATCCATCCACTTCTTTATTGCCTGTAATTTAACTTTTCTGCTAGTTATTTCTTGCTTTAATATTTCTTGAAGTTCTTTCCAAATTTCAACAGCAGTTGCAATATAGCAGCATTCTTTCTGTAATTTGCCCAAGGCTATGGAAATAGATTTTAGTGTATTCAGCATCTTTCTTTAGTTTAGAGTTGATTATTCTAGTTGTGATACTTCCATCAGTTTTGTCATGATTTTCTTCACAGATGAGCATCAAAATAGGCCAGTTCTTAATAAATTACTTAAAGCAATCAACCACTGAATTCAGTTGTATTAGCATGGGGAAGAATTAGCTTCTTCAGTGAAAATGAACTAAACTGGTTGTTACAAAAATATTTTGCAATTTCAACATTTTCCTTTAATCCTGGAATACTTACATGTTTGGCTAACAGATGCATCAAATGAGCATTGCACCCATATGTTATAAATTTAAGGTTTGCTTCACAATTTTTTTCTAAGTTTCTTATAATCTTTGCTACGTTTGCAACATTATCTGTGACAAGTCTATGCACATGAAATATTGCATATTTTAAAGGTTGACCTCATAGTCATTCTTATATAGAGGAAAACTGACCTTTAACTCTATAGTTTTTAGTAGAGGCTCATTGACTCAATATATTATTTTATTTAAATTATTTTACTAGATTATACTAAATTTATATCTTAGCCTATGATGTATTAAATTCAAATTTTCTTTTAAGCTGGTTTATTTTTAAAAATTAAAAATGATAAATAATATATAAAAACCCAATAAAACATCCACATTTTTTAATTTAAAAAAATAAATTTTATCCAACCTGGCAGGTAGGCATTGCCCAGGCCCCTTCTCCAGCCCTCTTCTTGAAGCTGGCTCACTGCATCTTGCTTTTAATAGTGCATAAAAAGTACTGAGAATAGTTCTGCATTCCCACTGGGACAAAAAGAACTCAGGTTTTTCTCCTCTTCACAGCAGCATCCATCTCACTTGGCATGTCTACACATGCATTAATGCACCATAATTACGGCACATTAAGTTTAGTACCTGTAATAAAAGGTACTAACTTAATGCTCTGTAATTGGTGCTACTGCACAGCAGTGCCAGCGTGCTTTTTTATGTGATGCTAAGGTACAGTCGACTAATTCTACTGCTCATTAGCATGGCTATCACCATGACGTTGTAATGCTTAATAGAATTAGTCTACTGAACTTCTAGTGTCTTGTGTAGACACATCCACTGAGTGATATGCCTTCAGGTTTGCTTTCTTCCTGCTGATCCCACATATCTCCCTCTCTTAGCTGCCCAGTGGGCAATGCCTCCTTTTTATTGTCTGAAAACAGCAAGCATCTGTCCTGAATTCTATGTGGGGAACACTAAAGCAAGGAAATAACTTTTTTTATAATGCACTTATCCTCCTTACCTGCTACTTTGATTCTTTTATTGTTCATTACCTATCAAGAGGGAGAGGTGGCTCCCTAAGCACATTAGGCAGCTCTCTGCTTCACTGTATTTTATTTGCTCAGTAGGGAGCCTTTTACTTGTTTCCTACATCAAAGAGAAGGTAGAAGAGCTTCTGTAATGTGAGGGAGGAGCTGCAGCAGTAGTGGATTCTCTGTAATGGAGAGAAGAATGCTTAGCAAAGAATGGCTTCTTCTTCACAGAGCTGGAAATATCAAAGGAAGTTGATGAGACACTTCCAGCTGCTGCAGTTTGGAAATCAAGGCAGTGAGCAAATTTGGAGACATGCAAGGGCATGGAATCAAGTTGTTGCTGGGGCTGAGCAGTAGAAACATTTGCTGTGGGGGGAAGCTCAGGGGATATGTCCCATCTGTTGGGATGGACAAGGAATGGCAGGGAGAAGGAAAAATTTGCTGGGGCATATATTTTTGTTGTGAAGGGGAGGTACAATGGGGGGAAGGTCAGTTTGTTGGGATCCAGATGGTGCATATAGAGGCTGAAGATGAATTGACAGGGGCTGGCTGTGAGATCAGAAGCATGGATTGCTGGGGTTAAAGAATCAGTTGAGAGTTGGGTGGTAGATATTGGATTGAATGTGGGCAGCCTGGTTGAACTTGGGGTGTTGTGGGCACTATCAGGAGTTGGGCCGATAGATTGAATAAGGAGGCTGTTTAGAAAGGGCTAGTTCAAGGGCAGAGATTTGGGTGATAATCTTTAGGGAGGATAAAAAAAATCAGTTGACTATGGTCAGGGAATTGATTGATGGGGTGGAATGAGGCCAGAAGAAGGGGTGGGGGGATACTGGGAGACCAAAGGAAGGACTATGGAATGTGTAGATGGATTTATGGACAAGGGGATGCACTGAGACTGAGAAGTAGACAATATGTTCATGTCCTGGGATGGGCAGAAGTTTAACTGAGCACATAACTGATTAAGAATATTTGGAGAAAGGTGATCTTGGCAGAGCATTGATTAAGGAGTTGGATTAGAGAGGTGGAGAAAGATGGGAAGGGAACTGGTTAGAGAGAAAAGTTATGGGGTCAGAAGTGTATCGTTTGCATAGGCTATATAGTTTATTTCAGATAGTGAGGTGATAGGGTAGGAGATGTGGTGGGGCAGAGTTTTGTTTGAGGGACCTGGCTGAAGAGAGGGATGGAATAGGACAGACTGATGAGGAGAACAAAAGCATGGACTAAAGGTTTCAGGTGTACAGAGAATGGATTGTAGCAGAGGCTGGACTGAAGGGCATACTGAGTTTGGAAAAGAAAAGCAGGGAAACAGAGCTATTTGGAA